ATCATGCCTCTTGGGGTGTGATGATGGAATCATGACCAATCCTCAGTCTAGAGTGAAATCCAAAACGAAAATTGGGACGTCATGTCAATTCACTGATTATCATTCATCTTCACCTTCATTCATTCAATGGCTTCGTCATGATTACATTCTTTTCACCCAACAACCCAACACTAGCACACAGATTAATAAAAGAGTTGATCAGATGTAAAAATAAACTTGTTTTATTTATTCTGATCTTCATCCTTAAAAACTCTAATCCATGTACCTGCATATTTCAGCACGAAATATCATCACAATCTATCAACAAACTAGCGAAATTACTTGTACGTAGTAGCCAGGTATGTACTGTAGCCCCTCCAGCCCTACGACTGTTTCACGTCGGCAGAAAACCACTTCTCGCCACGTATAGTGGAAAACGAGCAGGTAACTTGTGGCTACCGTGTAGGTACCTGTATTTGGATGTTGTTGTCTAGTTGTATAAACCAGAGGGTAGTAACCTGTGCCTCTGTCATACGTTCAGTTACTTACACACCACAAATTGTTGTGTGTCGCTAACCTTTGTAAGAATTGGGACAGGTGGGCGTGAGGTGGCATTACTAGTAGTACTAAGGGACTTTTGGTGCGCGATATTTCAACCACTTTTATGAGGCGCGATGATGCACGCACCATGGCACAATTTCGGGTGCGCGGTTTCGATCGCGCCCTTTAAAAATGAGAGCCTGGCGTGTAAATGGGTGCGTGCGTACGTCACTAGGTGGGTGCGTGCGTGCGTATGTTCATGGGTGCTTGAGCGCATATGTGGGTGCGTGCGCGCATACGTCGGTTCGTGCGTACGTGTGTGGTTGCATTCGCGCTTACGTGGGTTCGATTTATTTTAGTTTCTTATGTTGGGACAACCCCAACATAATTATACTGTGTTTTCACAGCTTAATGTACATACGTCTCAAAACTGATAGCTTACCTGCGTTTTGGGCCCAATTATGACACACGTAGTTGACTTCAATTTGTATATAAAATCGGGCCATCCATCGTCCATTCATAAATGTCATGCTTTCTAAAAATTCTGGGAAGAACCCTAACTAAGTAGATAAGATCAGGGTTCTCCAAGAGCACTTATAGCCTGGCGGGCCACCAGGCTATCGTCGAGCCCCGCCATCCTAAAATGCACCCGCCACTCTAAATATCATAGCCGCCATGCTAAATATCATAGCCCCCGGACCCACCTAGCATGCAAACCGCATTCGGCGATTTGCAACTAGGACTGTAAAGGCAGCACCCGCCATGCTATAATGAAAAAGCTTGGAGAACCCTGTAGATGAGCCCATACTAAAAGATTATTCATCATCCATCATTTGTCATTTGCTATCATCTAGTCTTGAATATGTCTGTTAAATTGTTTCCATCAGTATAAGTTAAGGGGGCTTATGTCGGGCTTGCGAGCCGACTTGACTGGAAGCAACTGGCTGCAATTCAATGCGACTGCAGTGCTTAGGTCGGTCGACTGCGATGCGACTGCCTGCGACTGGCCGCCACTAGTTGCTCGGAATGGAACAGTGGGCAACTGGACGCAAATAGTCGCTGCCGATCGCTTCCAGTTGCTTGAAATCCAGTTGCTTCCAGTCGAGTCGGCTCGCAAGCCCGACATAAGCCCCCCTTTAGAAACACTGTCTAAAATTTGTGCTCTTTCTTTTGTTAGCAGTTTGAAAACAAGATGGGAGGTCTTGACGATAGTCTACACCAGCCGCTCTCCGTTGTAGGAAGGCTCTACATCTACGCCTTACACGGCTATCTAGCTGAAGTTCTCTTTACTGCCACGTGGGAGTTTGTGGTGAACTTTAACTGGAAGTTTCCCGGCTGCACTAGTGTCTGGGCGCTGTTCATCTACGGAGTAAACACGCTCGTCATTGAACAGATGTATCTGCGGCTACAGGGTAAGCGTAACATTCTCGTTCGTGGGCTTATCTACACACTGTGGACCTACGCCTGGGAGTTTGGCATTGGATACCTGCTGAAATACTTCGACGCCTGTCCGTGGGACTACACTCCTTTCGACGGAGACTTCATGGGATTGATCACTTTGGAGTACGCACCGCTGTGGTTCGTCGGAAGTCTGCTCTCGGAGAAGTTTGTAATCAGATACACGACCCAGTTGCGCTGGCCCCAGTCCGCATACAAAGAGACATGGAGCATCAATGGACTAGTCAAGTCGAAAACTGCTTAGGTTTGCAGTCGAGTTATTTCTTGGCCAGCAGATGGTCATATCTGAAGGCATTTACATGTAATAACATCCTAAGAAGGCCTGCAAGATAGAACACTATGTGTTGTATTTAGCATACGTTTTTGTGGAATGGATTGCCGTGGCTGTGAAATTCATGTGCTAGCTTCCATTCAAAACTATAAAATAGTATGGAGTTCAACCTTTGCCGTCAACTTTTATTCGTTCTCACTTATGCACTTTGGTTAAAAGTTGACTATTATATAATAATAATTTTCAGGAGATAAATTAGAAATATGATTCACGAATGTACAATCACTGTATCACACTATTCTAGGGGTCGAAATAAGCGATGGTCCGATGGTCCGGGGCCATCAAATAATCAGGAGGACCATCAGATTTTGAAAGTCAATGGTCCGACGGCCCATTGAATATTTTGGTCCCATTTTACAGTAATTTTCTTTGAAGTTTCCACGTTCCAATATAAAAAGTGAATAAACAATTACTGTATCGTTTGATACATTCATTGTAGGTGAATAATTAAACTATTTTATCACCATGTAAAATCTCTTTCTTACGCTTGCATGCCGCATTACTTTTAGGGAACAATTTGAAATTTAGGAGGTCCATCTAAAATTTAGGAGGACCATCTAAATTTCAATCTAGATGGTCCTGTGGACCATCTCTTTTTGTCTCCTTATTTCTATCCCTGCTATTCCATTCATGATTTCTAGGTAATTTTTTCCAAGTTTCCATTACATGACAATTTGCTAGTGTTTTGAATAAGACGCATCATGACGGATGGTAGCGGTGTGATAAATACGTTTTTTGTGATTTAACTTATGCACTAACATTGCTATGTTATTTCTGGAGAAAACCTGTATCTAGATATATGCATTTATGGTTGCTGTGTATGCTCACGTGCCATGTCAACAGTATCATAGCAGTAAAGATGCCATGAGTTATATATACATGTGCAAAACATGTAAGATAACTGAAAATATCTAAACACGCATGTAAGCATGTCTCAAACGTTGTTCCAAGTCGTGTCCTGGTTTTAGAAATATCAAACTGTTTTTCACAAATTTTAACACAACTGCCGCATTAAAAATGTCGCCATCATCATAAAATGCCAAATATGCAGCTTTATCAGTATTAATTGAGCCATAAATTAAGTTGATGCGTTTTATGCATGTATTGTAATAGCATCCATTTGTTATTTTTTTTAAACATTATTCTAGTTTACTTGAAAAGCATGTAAAAATCCTTTAAACCACATCAGAAGACTTCATTGTGATGATTGTCCTGGTTAAGTAAAGACTGAAAATGGCAGTAGTACAGATTCCACATCTCTGGGCAAAATATAAAATTTAAATTTCAAAGATTTTCTGGCTATGTACATATGCACAAATGTTTTATTCCATACACACGGATCTCGTGAATCAACACACATGTTGAAAATATAAATATTTTAGGTGATTTAATCACCGGTAATAACTTGATGATATCTTAACGATGTATTTATTACATTCAGCTAGCATTCTCTGTATGTTTCTGTATGTGCGATTATTGGGGGTTGTATGTGGGGTTGTATGTGGGTTGTATTGCGTTATGTGCAATACAACAAGAAATTTGACTATAATGTAATCTAATTTACTTTATTATTGTACTGCACATATTACAGTATATGTTGTGTCACAGAACATTTTTAACATTATTGGCCAGTTTCGGTGTTTATCGTGATCATTCGCCCAACCGCGCACAATGATGTTATTATGGCATGGTACAAATACCTGTTTCAGTGATGTTACATTGTGTTATGTATGTTTTGGGAAAATTTGTTTAGCAATGATTGATATAAATTCTAATCTGCATATGGCAACGGTTGTTGAAGTTGTTGTATGAAAATGTAACTATTCAATTTGGTGCTGCATGTTATTAAAGATTTCTTAAGCAGCTATGGTAATTAATTTCAGTCAGGATGTTTTTTCAGTCAGGATGTTTAATTAATTTCATGTGTAATTAATGTGTAAATTAATGTGTAATTAATTTCAGTCAGGATGTTTTTTGTGATATACTACGTATCTTTTTCAAAATGTTATGTACGTATATCGGTGGCTTGTTTTTTGGTTATTATTCAAGTTTCTTCAATATTTATTGAATAAACAATTGATTATTGTTGTCTTATGGCACATAAATCATGTTTCCTTATAAGTCGTTACTATTGGAAGGTAAGGTCGTCTGAACAATATTTCCAGTCACGCGAAAACATAACACGGAGTGATAAAACATTGACGCAAGGAGCTGTTTAAATTGACTACGTCACGAATTTTCTATGGTAAAATTTGTAAAATTTTTGTTGCCATTTTTTTACATTAAAAGTAAGAACTAATGGGACTAAACGTATCGTCAAATCCTTACCTGATAAGATTGTTTCTCAACTAGTTAAAAATCCAAAAAACCTGGACGATTTGATATTAGTGTTCCTGATGTTAATTGCTTGCTATGGGCTATGTATGAGTCACGAGTGTATGTTCACATCGAACAATATAGTAAAATAAGAAGTGTAATGCAGCAATTTAACCATAAAGTGAACAAAATTACTTATATTTTGTGAAAAAGTGGAAAGACTTTTTAGCTCATCTGACATAGTCAGATGCAGCTTGTAGAATCGCATGATCGTGCGTGCGTGCGTGCGTGCGTGCGTCAACAGTTGGGCACAAATCTTAACCGCTCGACGTACGGTCACGATATTTGGGACGTGGGGGGGGGGATCGTGAAAAGGACTCGGGATGATCAATTTGGGGGTAAAAGGTCAAGAGGTTTAAGATCAAGAGGTGTAAAAGAAGGGGGAACATTCCCTCCTTAACTTAAGGTATAGGGAGGAAATGCAGAATTGCGGCACAAATCTAAAGAGAGAGAGCTAGAGAGAGAGTGTGATCGAGCGAGAGAGAAAGAATGAGAGACAATGAGGGAGAGCGAACGCGGCGATGGGAGGGTGCTCTTGATTCGTTTGCCCCCGAGTTTAGCATCAGGACACCTGCCGTCAGGTGAGTGCTGTCGCTCTGCGGCACTTGTTATTTTTTACTATTTACGTTGACGTAATCACTTTAAATGCATCTCATTGTTGTCGCCATATGGTTGTCGCCGTAGTAAAATTAAAATATGACATCGCCCTGCCATCTATCGGATGAAATAATTTTTGTGATTGTGTGCATTGACGAAAAACCAAACAAAAATTCCTCATGAATTTCTTATGTAACGTAATTTAAATCTGAAAATATGAAAAGAACCTACGATCATGTGTCCTTTTAATAGTAATAGACTATAATAATAATAATGTTAATTATAATCATTAATCAAAAGACAAATCCGTAATTTATGAGTTATTTGCAATTTCAGAAGTAAATGAGACTAGCAAGCGCATTCGTTGCACAATGTGTATTTACAAATGTGGATACGCGTTTGGTAGTAAATGATGTCGTCGCGCCATCTATCGGAGAAGATCATTTATAAACGTGCATTCAAAAAAGTGTCTGTGCGACGCAAGTCACATATGGACGCGGCGCATTTCGAAACATATCACAGGCTAACGAATACATGTATTCGTTATTCTATGGTATTTATAACCGAGTAATATTAAGCATGTAAAAAACTATATAACTTATATACCTATATAAAAACTATACGCTAGGTATGGTACACGATAATGTAGCCAGTAAAGTGATATTATAGTAGTGATGTATTATTCAACCCCCAACCATTGCCTATACAAGTGCAACCATAATTATTTAATATATACAATTGAATTGAATTGAATTGATTGGATATATGGTTGCACTTGTATAGGCAATGATGGGGGGATGAATAATATATCATTACTATATTATCGTGTAACATACCTAGCATATAGTTTTTATATAATTATATAAGTTATATAGTTTTTTACATGCTTAATATTATTCGGTTATAAATACCATAGAATAACGAATACATGTATTCGTTAGCCTGTGATATGTTTCGACATGCGCGACAGACACTTTTTTTAATGCACGTTTATAAATGATCTTCTCCGATAGATGGCGCGACGACATCATTTACTACCAACGCGAATTTTAGATTTTATACGCAAAACCTTTAGTTTTCGAGATATTAGTAAAGTATATCGTAATGTATCGTATTACAAAACCCCGCTATTTACGAAGAAGTGAGCCAAATATCTGACACTAAGCAGGATTTTCCCGCGAGTGTAAAACACCGTGGATGTGTTGTTAAAAGACTATCATATACGAGCATATTACAAACTATTCATTTTTATTTAGGTTGCGTCATAACTTACGTATGAGGGAATTGGTGCAAAAATCGTTACATATTTATTATTGCGCGTATAAAGAACGCTACATTTTCCGATGAAAATGTTGATCATTACGAGTCATTGCCGCCTATTATGTTGTGACATCATATATCGGTGTGGATAAGCAAAGTCAACTCGAAATTAAGCTTTCATTGGTTAAAACAATGCTAAACTCTCAGCTATCTGCATTTGCAGTGTTCGCTATTAATTTTTACTGTACAATCAATATAAACACAATCATATTTTACTTACATATAACGATGCCGAGGAATCTAGCTATACTTAATCACTGTCAGAACACATACAACGGTGGCAGCCAATCGAGTCTGTAATCATTGCACGCCCCTTGCGTTGTTAAAAAAAGCAGCGCCCTCATTTTACAATGAGTCGAGGAGAAAGTCAATGCTTGTCCACGTCGGCAAGATACGGTCCACTATTGCTGACCTGTTAAATACACATGACGTCACACATACGACGTCATTACACGTGGTCCCGCAGGTGAGGTCAATCCGCTCTAATCATCACGTGACGTCCCCGCGAAGCCGCATCAGCTGCGTTTAGCGTGTGGCCTTCGGGTAATGGCTCAAAGAATCATCATCATCAGCAGCAGACTGTGTGTTGTTGCTAAACAGACGGTAAGATGCGGTAACAGGCGGTATGCTCCTGAATCTACTACTGCTTGAACGTTTCCCGGTCCCATCAAGTCGATCTTCTGAGCCGTTCCGACTGCAAGCACCAAACAAAACCGCAGTGAGAACTCAGCAGATGGGCTGAGAGTAAGCAGCTAATTGTACACGTACACGTACACGTACACGCACACGCACACGCCCACGCACAAACGCACAAACGCTTGCAAGCAAGCATACATACACACCCGCGCGCACGAACGCTTGCACGAAAGCATGCACGCACACGCACACGCCCACGCACAAACGCACAAACGCTTGCAAGCAAGCATACACACACACGCGCGCGCACGAACGCTTGCAAGCAAGCATACACACACACGCGCGCACACAAACGCTTGTAAGCAAGCATACACACACACGCGCGCGCACAAACGCTTGCAAGCAAGCATACACACACACGCGCGCGCACAAACGCTTGCAAGCAAGCATACACACACACGCGCGCGCACAAACGCTTGCACGAAAGCATACACACACACGCGCGCGCACGAACGCTTGCACGAAAGCAT